ACGTGTACCCATGAAGAGTTTAATCTTAAAACTTCATTATTTGGTCTGGAACATATTTTTTTTGATGCTGCTAAACATCTTGTTTGGCAAGAAAGAAATTCATCTTTAAATAACAATTCAAAGGATGGGAAAGAAGTGCTCCAAATATATGAAATGACTGTGGCTAAGCTCTTTGATATTTATGAGCGTATGATGGAAGATTCTAGATGTGGAAATGACGATAATAGAACTTTTGGAGAATATACTGAGAAATGTGCAGAAGACTCTTGTAACTGTAAAGATGTTTGCTCTGAACACGATGCAAATTGCTTCATTGGAAAGTCTCTAACTTTACAAGATAGTTGTAATATAAGTGAAATCTTGGATGAAGCACAGTCTGCTGATATTGGAAGACTGCAACAGCTCATGAGCAAATGTACAGTGCAGATGGAAATGCTGAAAAAGTATTTTCAGATTTTACAAGAGGAGGATGTAACCACACTGATAACCCAAGAAAATATATTGGACTTCATGAAGAATGGAGGATTTAATCCTGTCATTCTGAAGCCGGAAGCTGTTGAAATATATACTGAATTGGCAATGACATATGAAACTATTTTTTTCCTTAAAAACTCAATAGAGAAACAAGGAGATAATCCGCGATTTCGTAGTTTACTATGGTTTGATTTATCACTTCTACCTGAACTTTTCCAGTGCCAAGAAAAAATGGCTTTCCTGTCTTATCGGAAAGATGAGCTTTTAGAAACAGTGGAGGCTTCCATCTTTGAACTTCAGGATGAATTGAACCTTATTTATAACTATACAGAAGCCTTAAATTGCTCATATGCGCTTCATCTTCTCACAAGAGAATTTGTGGAATTTTCAGAAACAAGAAAAATGTTAGGAACATCCAAGTCGCCTGTTTCCATGTGTGTAGATTTGGCACCATATGCTATCGCTTTAAATTATGGAAGTACAGTTTCTGAATTAGACTGTAACTATAGCCAGTTTTCTAAACTTCTTGAGAAATTGATGACATCCAGACAAAAAGATTTAGGAAAAATGGCTCACGTTATGAAGGTGATGAAAACCATTGCACATATGAAGTTTATCTGTTCCGAACAGGGGAAATCACCTCTTCCTGTGGTTATACATCAAATGCTTAAAAACTGGAGAAAAGCTTGTCGGTTGAAACGGCAGCTTGTAAGAACACGGTTAGATCACAGTGAACAAAATCTTCAGGCTTCCCAAATCCTACACAAAAGACCATTTAATGTAACTTTAGAAGACGAGCTCTGCCCATCAGAAGAAAAGACTGATGTCTCACATAACAAAAAGAAAAAGGTAAGGTTATCCAACACCTTCTCTAAATGGTGCTTTGTATATTCACTTATTTATTTATTCAATTTACATGTCACCCATTTCCCCCATAAGACAACTCTGGGTGGCTTGCAGAACATGATACGTGAACTTTTTTATTTTCAAGAGCAATAAGATTACTGATAGTGTACTTTCTGGGGTGTATTTTCTATCCTACAAATTATTGTATTTGACAACTTTCAGATATAATTTGGATGTACAGTATTTCCTCTAAGAAACAGTGG